TGTTTTCATTGTTATACTGTAGGGGGCGCTAGTACACATCTTCTGTACAGAATTTCCAAAAAACACAAGTGAAGAAACCGAAACAACAGATGCTTCCACATGTATTCTAACGCGATCATCAGACATAAAACGGTATCAAAACTATGTAACATTATGGAATAAAATGTCAACCAATGAAGAAGTAATAATAACTGTCAAGCTTTGGGGTGTTTATCTGGGACTCTATCTACGTTTTGATTATCATTCTGAATCCAATTCATAGTCTTAAACCAATCCCTACCCCTACACCTAACCCTACGCATAATTTATTCCTAAAATCAGTGGGAAATTATATCTGATTAACAAGGGTGTAGAAGCACCTAACCCTTATTGTAAGCCTAAAACAGATATTTCCTGAAAAGTTATATCTCAATTCTGATTGGTTGATTGGAATGTTGTTCCAGGATCAACAAGGATGTTGATCCAGGAACATGTTGTACTTGGTCAAATCACTCTCACCATGTTCAAACTGGTCTTGCTTCTTCGTGGTCTCTTTGTTTTCCTTTATCTGTGTTCTGTATTCCTGTTAGTGAGTAGCCTATCCTGTGTAACCCCACTTGTTTACATGACAAACAAACATTTTCGCACCCTCCAAACTTATGAAAACTGCTCCATGTTCATGTATAATGCTCTCTCTAGTGTCCCATACATGGACTGCATGCTGTGAATGTGCAAAATGCCCAGGTGAAAAAAGTGCACTAAAATACACTTTATTTCATTACATTTTGTACACTTCCATATAATGTACTTAAAATGCTCTATTTTTACGCTCTAGTTTTGTACTTAATATACTAAAAAATATTATCATACATAGAAAATAGACTTTAAATATTTTAAAATATAAGAATAGCCTAATATATAATACATATATACAAAATGTATTTATAATGTACAATTGCCCACATATTTTTATACATTAAATAATTCATTTAAAATGTATTGTAACTGTTAATATTCCCTGGGGTTTAACACTATCTTGTGGTGTGGGTTAATACATTTCTACTGTATTTGTCATCAAAATCCATTAAAAGAGAACTAGTGATATATGAAAATCCACTAACATTTCATGTAAAGCACATATGCATTGTTGCACACTTTTAATTAAAGCACTTATAAAACACTTCTGTATATTTGGTTTACTTTATCTGACTACACTTAAAATCAGTTTAAGTGTTAGTGCTAATTAGTGCATTTGGGAAAACGTACGACAGTACATTAGTTACAGTAATATATTTTTAATAAAATCAATTTAATTTAAACTTACGATTACTATGTAAAACTTCAAACTATTGAACTATTTTTTAAAGCATTCAAAGCACACTTTTAAGAAAAACACTAATAAAACTCCTGTATATTTTTGCGGTAGTATGCTGTATTTCAATGCACTAAAAATCAGTTTAACTATTAATGTACTTGGTATACTTTTTCAAGTGCACTGAAGTACTACTTTAGTACAAATATTTTAATTAGTATATTAATAGTGTATAACTTTTACCATTTTATTTAGCACAAAAAATACAAATGTAAATTTATTTGCTTTAAGTAATTTTTAGTGCATTCAAGTATACTGTATTTAGACCTGGGTGGTTGACAGGTAGAAAGCGCCTCAAAAGCATTCTAATGGGCTAAACAAAGAACCACTCTTTATTTTATTAATATCAATTTTGAAAACAGTTGTGCTGCCCAATATTATTGTGGAAACCGTGATATTTTTCAGCATTCTTTGAATAGAAGTATTAATTGATTATTAATTAATTGATGAATAAAAGTACTAATTTCTTTTTTTTTAATAAATCTTACCCTTAAAACTTTTGAATGTTAGTGTATCATGGTTTCCACAAATACATTAAGCAGCATAACCAGAGGCACGTGCCCCCTCAGATTTTTGAGCCAAGTGGATTTTGAATGCAGCTTCCAAAAGACAAAAAAAATAGCCGAATAATATTTTCTGTATTTGATACAATTACACCAGCATGATTAAATGATTCAGCGCGTCATATCATCCGCTGCTAAATTCAAATCTGCGTTTGCTGGCTGGCTGGCGCAGAGACAGACGCGTTTTTACAGCACTGCGCATTATAACCAATCACACACGATGCTGTTGAGCTTATGAATGCAATGGCCAATCAGAGGCGTTCAGATTAGCCATCGCTACAATGCGGTATTTTCTTCACTCGCTCGCTAGTACTTTCTGGCGAATTCTCTCGTTAGAAACAACAAACTGCAGATGTGTACACGTATTAACATGTAAGTAATTAATTTCACAGTGTAAACAGCTTCAGTGATTTTAATGGGAGTTTTTGAGAGTGCTTGAACTCTAGACTGTCAGTGAAAATGTTCTTTGCTCTCTTTCTGTACAATGAAAGTGTTATGATAAGTAACTTACAATGTTTTTATTCACATTAAATATAAAGTCAGTCGTATTAAAAATACGTTATGGCATGACACCCATATCTGTTACTTAAGTAGGCCTAACCAGACATGTTTTTATGTATAGTTAATAGACTACATTATTAGGCTACTTTGACCATCGCCCATCAACTAACAATCTATAAAGGCGAGAATCGAGATATTTCATGATATAGTTAATGCGTTTGGAAATGTTTCGAATAAAAAGGAAAAAAATTAACTGGAGGGGAATTGCAGGTTGGGTAAGGAGTCAGGTGAGTCAGAGACTTCAGGATAGTGCAACAATGTTCTTTAAAAACAAGTGATTAATAGGTGAGCAGCAATGCAAGATGGCAGGTGAGTATCTTGAATGGATCAGGAACTTGATAGTAGACTGAGTGGTAGAAATGTCCTATTCCTCTCACGGAAGAATCCACTGAGCTGACGGGAAGAAGGCTATGAAGACTGCAAACTTGCATAAAGTCCAGGTAGGTGATCTGAGATGAGAACAAAGGGCTAGTCCAACTTGTCATCGACGAGACCAGACTGCATCCGAAAACTGAAAAATACTGCCTTCGGAGGATGCATTCCAAGGTAGGAAGGCATCAAGGCACGTCCGAATTCAATGTTAGCTTCAGTTCCTGTCTCCTGAGATGCCTTCATCTGGCCGATTTTTGAAGGCAGCATAGATGTATCCTTCGCTGCCTTTGATATCCCACAATCCTGTGCATTCCATTCTGTGACAGTTAAGCTAAAAAAATAAAGATGGCATCTGAAAGTTGCGGTCGGTGGTCAGTTTGTGTGTAAATATATGTTTTTTATCAACGTTTTCCACTTTTGATGTCATTTCTAGCCAGAAATTAATATTGCAGTAATGAAATATTCACTTAGTTATCACCAAAGCTCTCTATATTTTGCTGTAGATCATCTGATCTGTCCGAAATCAGTTTCATGAAGTACCTTCATGCAAAAACGCTGCCTGCAAAGTCATTGCCTCATACGGCAGCGAGGCAGCAAGTCAGCTCCACTGATGAAGCTAATGGCAGACAGGTGCAGTGATTGTGGACTGTGAGCAGGTGTGAGCCAGGGAGGATTCTAGGAAATGTAGTGTGCTGAGGTGACTGGTCTTGTGACAGGCATGATGACAGAAGCTGGTGAACTTGTGACAATTAGTAAATAAGAATGATTTCTTAAGAATCATGTGACAATGAAGACTGGATTAATGATGCTAAAAATTCAGCTTTGCCATTACATGAATGGTTTGTTTTTAAATATGTTTAAACATTTTATTTAAATTGTAATATTTCACAATATTGATGTTATTTTACTGTATTTTAATTGAATAAATGGATAATGAACATAAAAGACATCTTTCAAAAACATTCACAAAATAATTAAAAAAATAAATTTAAAAAATAAATTCTGTTGTGGTGTGGTATGTGTGGTATGCTTAATTACATTGACATGGTTGCAGTATTCACTCTTAAAAATAAAGGTACTTTATTGGCATCTAGTTCCTTGAAAAACTTCTAATACCCATGGAATCTTTCAAATGGTTCTTTATACTGAAAAATTATTCTTCAGATTATTAAAATGTTCTTCACACTAAGAAAAAAATAGTTCTGTTCACTGAAAGTTTCTTCTATAGAAATAGCACATGTGAAATTTGAAGCTGGAAGCTCAAGAGTCAGTGACCATGAAGGTTCCAGGAAACTTTGTGCATTATTTTGACTAGTACCACCAAGTACATTTCACTGATCTGGGGGGGGACATGTAGAAGAGGGTTGAGAAATGAGGGTACTGCTCACTTCTGATTGATACGGGCAGTGCATGTGTGGGTGATCCAAATACATGTGAAACTCATTATTCCCAATTTTCTTTCATTTTCACTCTTTACAAACATTTATTGTCGTGCCTTTACACGATTATGGGAAAGGAAACATTTAGAGGAAAGGAAAAGTGAAACAGATATAGAGATGTAAAGGAAAAATAAGAAGGAGAGGAAGCTTTATGGCATATTCCTGTTTTCTATCTTGTGGTGTGGGGTTGGGAAAAGAATGCAAGGAGAACAACACCCACACACACCTTCTGTCTCTCTCTCCTGTTTGGGCATTATATAAAGCTCAGCCCTGGTCTTCAGTCTCAGAATTATACAGACAAAGATCGTTCACTATGAATAGACTTATATTTGCCACTTTGCTGCTTTATGCAGCATCTCAGACTGGTGAGTAATATTCATTATCAATACTTGAATCTGTTTATGCTACACTACAATATGCATTTCTGTTGAGCATTTCTACATTTAAACACTGAACAGTTATATTTTGTCTGATTAATGAGGTTATTATTCTCACGTTATTACACATTATTGTGTAATGTGCAGGTGAATGCATCACAGGAGGAAAAGAGGCCATTGCACACTCTCCTCCATACATGGCTTCACTTCAGTGGAATGGAAAATATGAGTGCGGTGGTTTTCTAATCTCCAGTCAGTGGGTCATGAGTGCAAAAAAGGTTTCAAAATGTGCCATTGAGGTACCTTTAAGGCACAAATATGCACCCTTTAGTGAATAAGGTACACAAGTGTTCCTTTTTAAAAAGGTACAGTACAGCCCCAGGAACAGCTTTTGTACCTTTTTTTCTGAGAGTGTAGATTAGTTGTGGTTTGTTTTAAGCATTTGTTTCAGAAAAACTGTATTATATATTTTTTTATCTATGCAGAATTATAAATGTCCTGTGTGTTGCAGGAGGACATCCGGTGTTAAAGTTGTGTTGGGTGCTCACTCACTGTCTAATGCCGAGGACACTAAACAAACCTTTGAAGCCACTGCAGTCTACAACCATCCTGATTTCAGTATAAGCAACTATGACAATGATATTGCCCTGCTCAAGGTATACACTGTGATCCAATCATGTAGCTGAAAATCACTGAAATCTCTGCATGTGTATATAAATGAGAACATACATATATTCATAGAATATACTGTACGCTGTTGTTTTTGACAGCTGGATAAGCCAATCACTGAGAGCGATGCAGTGAATCCAGTGACATTCCAGCGTGAAAGTTCGTCTGACCCCGAGGAGTCTGATGTTGTGGAAACGGCTGGGTGGGGCTTCTTGAACAACCTGGGAGAACGACCAGACAAACTGCAAGAGCTCAGTATCAAAGTCAAGCAACAATGGCTCTGTGGTCGCGGTGACCACTATGGAACAAAGTTCACGAGCAACATGCTCTGTGCTGCAGAAAGACTAAAGGACACCTGTGATGTAAGTTCATTGCAATGATTCATAAAGCACTTTGAAATGAACATGACCACTGAAAAGACAACGTCTAATACATGACCTCTCTCATTTCTGCTGTCTTTTGGTCTAATAGGGTGACTCCGGAGGTCCTCTCTTATTCAAGGGCATTGCTGTGGGAATAACCTCTAATGGAGGAAATAAATGTGGCTCCAGCAAAAAGCCTGGACTCTACACGATCATCTCCCACTACACGGGGTGGATTGACAGTACAATGACCCAGTAAAAGAAAAAGAAAAAACAGTTAATCCTAGAAAGCTTTTTCAAGCTGCAGAATCCTTTGCGTACCATTTTTCTTTTTCATTTACATTTACATTTACATTTAGTCATTTAGCAGATGCTTTTATCATTGGCAATGTACATGTATTGCTATTTTCTACATTAATAAAAACTTTTCTACATATACCTAAATCTACTCACCGTTGTTTTGCCTTTATTTATTTGTTCATTTTCAAAAAATTACATTTTTACTAAAATATGCATCAACACCACTATTAAATGATTCATTGTGAGGAGACACAATAGCATATGATAGACATTAGACAATAGACAATAGAAATAGACAACCCAATGAAGTCAAGTTCATTCTTCCAGGCCAAATATAACATTTTATGCACACACATTATATGCTTACATATAATATTTATTATATTATATCATATTATATTATATTATATTATTATTTATATTATATTACATTATATTAGCACAATAAAACAACTGAAGTTGACCAAAGTGCTTTACACATAAACCAGTATTACAAATAACATCCAGATAACACAACAGTACAATATTTAAACACACAAATGATTATAGGCAGCCATTCCCTGGTTTTGGACCCATTATTATTTTGAAAGCTTGATCACCTTTTTTGTTTGCTTCTCATTCTGCCCATGACAAGTAATTTTTTATTTTCTGATCTCAAAGTTTCTAATGGGTTTAAAAGAACTCATCAAGTTTGAAAGATGAGGAGCCAAATTATTAAAAAATCTAAAACCAAAATCGATTCCAAAACAGACAGGCAACCAATGTGATGAAGGCAGAATCATTTGTGGTTGTTCTAGTGCTGACAAGTTAATGCCATGGTAGAGAGAATTAGAAAAATTGAGATGGAAAAGATACAAGCAATGACTCGTTCACAGTCTGTGGCTGATTATAAAAGGCTTTTCTTAAAATATTATATTATATTATATTATATTACTTCTACGACCTTTCACTGGGCTAATAGACAAGAGCAATATCAAAAGCTATTTTGTTAGTATTTGCCATTTTGAAAAAAATTAGCAATAAAAATCTGCCATTTACTCAGATGCATACCAAAACTGCTATTTATCAGCATTTTTAGAAATCATTTTAGGAGGAAGTAAAAGACATTTTTGCAATGAGACACACTAGCACAAGCTGATAAGAGCAGTGATCTGTGTGACTGATAGATAATTAAATATTTCCACATGTTCTGACAGTTCAACGGCATGATGTTATGCGTTTGTGGATTTGAATATGTTGCAATGATAAACTGCTTACTGTGTTATGTAAGACTTTTTAAGTGCTTCATTAAATCTGAGTTATGAAACACAGTGTTGTTTATATATGACATGCAGTGTTGGGAAGGTTACTTTGGAAATGTAATAGGTTACAGATTACAAGTTACCCTATTTAAAATGTAATAGTAGTGTAACTTTTTCGATTACTTTATTAAAGTACTTTTGATTACTTTTTGATAAATTTTCTAAATTTCTAATGAATGTTTATTTGCAACTGTTAATAATTTTCAAACATTTACACCATGCAGGGTTAACCTTACAGTAGAGCTCAGACTTTCAAAATCCTTCATCACTTGAATTAAGATGATCAAATTTGAACACATCCACCACAAAATCAGACTTTAGTACTGCCTTTTACTTTGAGATTGATCTGAAGTTCAATGCAGATTTAAAATCATAAGAAATAGTTTACTGATACTGTTTTTGAAACCAAATCTTTGCATAACTACAGGAAACACGGCATCTAACAATGGTTTGGAAAAAATAGTTAATTAAAAAATAATAATAAATAAAAGCATATACATCAACTCAAATACGGTTATCTAATAAGCATGTGTCCTATTCTGTGTACTAAACTCCTGAAACATTGATGTCTCTTTGTATATGATATGACGTTAGTTTTCTCAAAATAAGTAAAATGCTCATGAAGTGACTCAGAGCAGTTCTAGAGATTATGTTTATGTGTTCATGTACTCATATA